AAATGCGTATTACAAACGGATCACAATACTCAGCGAAGAAAAACATTCCTGATACGCATTTACTTGCTCATGTAACCCCGGTAAGTGCTAGCAATCTCGTGACCCTTCCCAGCCATCGTAATACGAGAGAAGAGCTGAAGTTACACGCCTGGCAGCGGGCTACCGTCACCGAACAAAATAAGCTTAACTACCCTGAACGGCCATTGGTTGAATCACGCATTGCGTCACAGCGCGCTTGCGGCAAGAAACACTGTGGATATGAAACAAATAGGAAGGCATCTATCATTCATTTAAACGTGTTATGGCTCAAATATGGCAATGCTTGGAAAGGTGCGACACATATCTGAATCCCCGTTCACAATGTACGTTTGGTCAATATGTACCAATTATGACCCCATTGAGCTACCTCTAAATATAAATATTTTTTGGTAAAATTTCATACAGAGTATTTTTTCGTGAGGTAGAACAATATGGCTACCCGTCCCGGTCGAAATTAAAAATGTCGAAATTAAGTGCCACCCTAGTGATCATCAACATTACATCTCCAGGCGCCATTGCAGGTTAGTTTAGTATTATCAAGCTGGCAAAACGAATATGTTCTCCATACAGCGAACTGCGAAGCACTGCTACATTGGAGCCTGGAGGCACTCAGCTATGCTCGGGGGAATGTTGATGTTTGTGTGACTTGATGGCGACCTTCGACGTTGCTTATTTATACACCTACACTGGACGTTTTTTCGAGGTCCCAGATGTCTTCAAAGTTCAAGGCGAAGTCAACTCAAGCACACCTCTGCATAGTGCAAAAAGGGACATTTATCTAAAAGCAAGAATGGAGCCCCCGCGTATATATGTTGGGGAGCGGCGGCCGTTCGTATCGGCCGCCGGCAGCGTGCGCCGACGCTGCAGCCTGCAGTCTCGGCCGGCCAGTGACGTAGGTGACGTGGCGGCCGCTGATTGGTCGGCGGGCGCCCAGCCCCCCTATATAATGCGGCGCATCGCCGGCGGCGGCAGACGCTGGGCGGGTTGCTCGGCGGGTGGAGCTCGGGCTGAGCGGTTGGCTCGCCAAGAGGAGCTCAGGGATGAGCTGGCGGACGTTGGTCCGGCCTGATGGGCAGCTAGGGTATTAGCGTGTAATGAGCCGATGTACATAGATTAATACATTAGTTAACTGAGCCGTGGTGTTTACCCGAGAATGCGTGTTCCGAACATATAGGCACACAATAATTATTCCGTAGCACCAGAGAAGATACGAGAACTAATGAGCGGACGATGAGCAGACGGATATGGACGCTGCCGTCCCAGTACCGAAATGAGACGATTTGAAAATTGCGGAACATATTGTTTTAAAAGCATGCAAACTGGCAGGGAGATTGTCATTTGTCACAAGCATTTCTAAACCCAAACCAACTTTTAATTCATCCTAAAAATTTTCAGCCTTGTGAGTCCGGACTCTAGCTCTACTTATTTGCTACTCTGTATGCAGTATGCAACACACGATGCACCGGCTCAATTGGTGCGTGCTGTGCTGTATCGTAATGCGTGAATTTTCAGTGAGGACTCGATGCACCTGCATAACATCAACAGCGTTTAGGTGCCGTGGCATTGCACAGCTGTAGGGGCGTGAGTCGTAGCAATATGTATATCCTGCAGGTCCCAGCTGTTAGACCGTGTTCTCCCGCCACCATCCATGGCACGCTGCATCTTCAATGCCTACCTATTTAAGTAGCACCCTTCCTGAATCAATAATCTATAGGCATAACATGGACATGACAAACTCAATCCGTGGTTGTTGAACACACTAAACGGTTTAACAAGGGGCCGGCTGCAGAGGTGCATTGAACATGATAGCTAAATACCTACCGAACGAATGTCGTCTGATCTGTGATATTCTGAGATAGAACGGCGCAAAAGATGCATTTTGACGAGTGCTGGGCAAGATGTGATGTAAGTTGATGAGGATAGCCAGTGGCGGATCCAGGGGGGGGGGGCAAAATGGGCATTTGCCCCCCCCCCCTCCAAACGGCATGATTTTAACATTACGCCTATGGACGATGCATGGAAAGAATCGTTAAATTGTTATGGTTTGCCCCCCCCCCCCAAAAAAAAACTCTGAGCTGGATCCGCCTCTGAGGATAGCCCTCCTTAGGTTAGGTAGGTAGGTATTATTCAATGGCACTGCCTTATTTATTGTAATCGCTTCCAAATCTCTTATGGTAATTAACAGCACACGCATAAGGAAACTTATTCGCTTTAAATCCTACATAACCTACATCGGATTTATTCTATTAAGAAAATATAATGACAACTGGACTGGAACGTTGAAAACTGGTTGAGAATACCGATGAAATTCAGAAGTAGGTACTGTACCTACCGTTGTACGACTTACCTACTTCAATATATCTAGGACATGCATGCTCAGAAAGATAAATAAATTTGCTCGGGTCGCCCCCGACGGTCCCATAAACCAGCATGTTGCAATGTCTGCAGTTGCATCAGCTTCTGCCCCTGTCTCGAGCAGGTATCACGTAAGAAAAGATCGCGTAGCAGCTGTGTGACGACGCAGCACCCTCCCCCCCCCCCCCCTCCCTACGTCACTCACCGTACCACGGGCCGTCTCTGGAACCGTCTGCATGTTCAAGTACCTCCTGTACCGCGGGCGTACCCCAAGTCCACACCGCACTCGCGTCGGCCGCGGCGGCCACTAGCGCTGCCCCTGAGCGTCGGCGCCGGCCCGACGCCCCTCGCGGCGGCCTTCGCGGCTACACTGCCGCCGTTTATTTGGCTGGCCGACGGCCGGTGGGGCTGCATCACTGGATTGGCGGCGCCTCCTCGGCACGGGGACGGTCACCGCGTGACGTCAGGATCGGTGACGCCGGACGGACCTGCCGCGGCGCTGGGCAGTCGTACGGACACGTTGCTGGACAGTCTGAGCAGACTGGACAGTGGGCAATGGACGGACCGGCCGAGGCGCTGGACAGTACGAACACGGGACCGGACAGTCTAAACAGACTGAACATTGAACAGTGGATCGTGAACGGCCGGCAGCGGCACTGAACAGCCTGGATAAGTGGATATTGAACAGACTTGCCGCTGCAGCTGGATCAATTTCTGACCAGTGGCCACCGGACACCTTGCCGAACAGACCTGCCGCGGGGTTGGAAACGGCACTGGACACGGCACGGCTCTGACGCCGCACGACGCTGGACCGACTGGACAGGGCGGCCGGACAGGCACCAGCACCGACCGCAGACGCCGAGCTGTTGCGTCATCCCGCACCTGAATGCTGAAGTGCAGAGAAGTGGTGCTGATCTGACTGGCAGATTGAATGGAGCGATGGCGACGGCCGATACAGCTCCGCGCGGATAGTGAATGTGGAGGTGCAGACTTGATACTGGAGGTGCAGACTCACCGGGGAATGGAAGTCGCAGTCGAGCGTCTGGGAACTTGGCCGGATAGGCGATTTTCTATTGGGTCTTATTGGTTGCCCGCGATGAGACGTTCGCGCGACGAAGTGAATGTCCGTAGCTGTATAGTCGACTACAGAATGATGTTCCACTCCTCAAAAGCTATCAGTTGACCGGAGCGCTAAGTTGTGCCGTTTATCACGCAATTTAGCGTGTCGATTGTGGGCATTGGGACAAAGCTATAATTTGTGAACGCAGCCCGTGTGATGCGGCACAGCCTACCACTCCAGGCAAATAATTGCCTGTGAAAAGTGGAACATCATTCTGTAGTCGACTATACAATGAACATACGTTATCTTCGTCCAAAGACGATCAAACATGTCATGGGAGATTAGTATCAATAATTATTCAATCCTGTGGGCTTTTTGTGATTGCCTCGGTATTCAGCATGGGAACAGAATAATATATGCCTAATGCTCATTTGTCTGATTAATTCAAGCAGCTGGTCAATGACGGCATTTATTTTGTAAAGCCTTTAGGTGAGTATGACGATTGACGAAACCATATAGCACAACCCTCGTGGGTATAAGGTTGTTAAGGTGCTTTGCTAACTCAACGTGGGAAATTGCAATGCATATGAAATATGATCCTTCATAAAGTTACCTCGTTGCTCTGCGCCTATAAAACTAAAAAGTGGTGAGTCTATTGACGACGCTGTGCCCCTTGTTTGGGCCGTATGTGCCCGGCGTGGACCGCCAGCCGAGACCGAAGTGGGACGGATGGTGTGATCTCGGTCACATGGCCTTGCCTCCGATGACAGGTGACAGATCTCCCAGCAGGGCGTGTCAGTCCGACACCCGCGCTGACAGACACGCTCTCGGCGTCCGATTGATGCGGCAGAGACGTAACAGGGGAAATAAACACTGTTCGGACACGCATGGACGGACGCCCGACGCAGCGTCTGGCCACTGCAGTGAATGGATAGTTATTTTACAGTGAAATAAATCACTTGGACGAGCCTGATCTGGGCACGGTATCTGGCCGGTGGACAAAGGGCAAAGCATTCTTCCGGAAGTACACGACGTTGATCCGTAATTTATACCGCGCGTGCTTTGCATCATTTCTCCCTACCGTCATTTTGATTTGAAACCAAAGACGTGCACAGCAAAGGACCGTTTCGACAATGTTATAACAGAAGGTAGGTCCTTCTTTGGCCGTTGCGGTCACCTGCAGCCATATAACCTGAACTGTCACATACAACGGCACGGCCCAGCCCCGTTGTGTCGTCTTGTCACGGCTCTGCTGTCACTACCACCAGTGGAAGTGAGCCCAACGCTGTCAGAGTGACACCTCGGCCGTCACGTCAGTAAACAGAGTAGTTACGTTACGTTACTGCAGACCACCCGTGCCAACAGCTCAACCAGCTTCGGTAACCGAGACGGTGTCACTCGGGGATGTAAAATGCGTGCTTCGATGTGTATTGCAATTATATGTACATCTAACAGGTAACATTGGAAAATGTGTGCATTCCGGTACGTTATCACTTATCAGCCTTATTGCAGGTTGACGGAAGGTGTCCATTTCGGAACTTCTTACCTTGAAACTCACTCCTGTATCCGATGGACCACCGTTGTCGACCTCAGCTCCTGCCTACGTAGTCTCAGATGGCGGGTAGACGCTCCACGTGACGAGTTGAGTCGCACCGGAACCAGCTCACTTCCAGTCCCACTCCGTCGCGATCTCTCGGCAGCGCACACGTCTAGTTCACCATCTCTCGTCCACAGCGTACGGCACTACTACGAGAAGCCGGCGTGGTGCGTCGAGCCGTGGCGTGTGCCGGCCGCCCCGCCGTGTTGGCCCAGACGGTTTACACGAATGTGGCGACGGGCCCCACCGCGTGGAGCGCACGCCGTCAGGGGCGGCAGCAGTCGAGGGGCCCGAGAGGTCGGGACTCGGGAGGCGGCACTTATTTAACAACATGGTTAATTTTACCTAGATTCCATAGAATTACAGAGGGGAAGCCGCTTGTAGTTTGTACACAGTAGTCGCGATATTTGTTAAGGGTTTGATGTGGCGTCCCTTGTTTTTCGACACTGACGTCGCCACTGGTCTGACAGTCACAAACTGGGCCGAATGGATATGAGCGAACATCAGCGGCCGAGGGCAGTCTGGTTCAGTCGCAGGACACACGATATCATGGACGGGGGCCTCGCGAATGGAGTTCTGGTGTTGACTAGCCGGAGACGACAACTCAGAACTACGTAGTCGGTAGTCTATAAAGTTATACCTGTGAGACTACAGCCACAGCCGGTGAACTCAACCGCTAAAACGTACCTAAAGTAGTTAAAAGGTATCTTGGCTAAAAAACGTATCACTAAAACTGCGCTGGTGGCATAATCAAGGTTGAAAAGGAAGACATTGACTGTGACATTAACACACACTGTTTGGACTGGCCATAAGTCAGACCGAAGGCCGCTTGCAGTGTTTTTGTTTATTTTAATGTCACAAACGCGAGGATCGGATTGGACGTCTGGTGCCTGGAAGAACGACGTCCAAGCATGACGAGACATCTGCAATCGTCTCTGCCTCCCTGAGCCAATATCGTTCTTTCACAGACGCACTTTTTTAATGAGAGGGATTGGATTATCGCTCTATGTCACTGGCAATGTGAGTGTAACGTAAACAAGCGAGTAAATATGATATTTATGTAGGTATCGATGCTTTTATGCGTTTTTTTAATCCCATTGTACTTCTTATTTTGTCTGAAAGATGTGATACAAATTCAATTATTTTATTTTCCTTTAAAAAATAAACAGATTACGAACGAATCGAAATCATGCCGATCACGAGTCCGAGTCACGAGCGATATGAGACGTTTCCTGAAAAATCTACCCGAAAAGCGAGATAAAGCGTTAAAAAGTTGCAGCAGAGCTGACATACCTACATATTACATACGAATACAAAGTAATCGACAAAGCTGTGTAAAGGCAGCCCGACAAAGGAAAAACATAAATGCCGTCATTTCTAAAACGAACACAAACCTATATGAACTCATCAGTACGGTCTGTGGCGTCGCGTTTAGCTCAACTGAGTGAAGCAAACACTGCAAAGTTGACTACAGAATGATGTTCCACTCTTCAGAAGCCATCAGTTAACTTGAACGCTAAGTTGTTCCGCTTATTTTGCAGTTCAGCGTATAAATGGTGAGCGTTAGGTCACAGCATCAAACTGTGTCATTCAGCCCGTTTGATGCGGCACAGCCTATCACTCCAGGCCTCCAGGCAACTGATTGCCTGTGGAAAGTGGGACATGATCATTTTGCAGTCAACTGTACAACGTAGCTATAGGCCATAGGCGGCGGAAGGGGGGGGGGGGCACCGGGGCACCGTGCCCCATTTTATTTGGGCATTTTACATTAGCCTTATTGGCGTTGCATGGAAAGAATGGGACCAAAAGTCGGCAGTGCCCCCTCCCCTTAATTGAAGATGTTCCGCCGCTACTGCTGTAGGCAATAGGCAATAGGCTTGCCAGCACATTGCAACAATGAGGCTGGGTTCGAACTTTGGGTTGTTACTTGTTTTGCTTCATTCACACTGTGTCCACTCATCAAGACTGCCGTTTTGGTGTCGGAACCATTTGTGACATTCAGAAGCGTTAATCATTTTGTGCCAACATTATCGCCCATTGCGAGCACATATTACGGACAACGGTCAACGCACATGGAAGTTAAGAATAACACCACACGATTTACAAAGGTGGTCCAGTTAAAGACACATTGCTAACCCGTAAACGGGCCTAGGTATTCTTAGCCTAAGGACGTAATCAGCAACAATGAATGATGCAGCGCTCGAGTCAAATAGGTAATACCGATACGATCAGCCTATAACGTAGAAAAAACGCAGAAAACTGTTTGTATGCACATGACACAAGACCCAGGCGACAACAGAAATTGACAGGACGATCATTGGATAAGTTATGAGCCGAATGAGTTATAAATCGTACATACAGGCTACAACCCTTGAATTTTGCACCGAAAAGAGCAATATTTTAATGATCAGCAAAACGTTTGAAGTGGAGCGGGGCAAATGCTGGCAATGACGATCCTAAACAACTGATCGTGTGGGGTGGGAGGCCAATTTCGATTCAATTTTATTTAACCATAATTTGGCCAAAGTTCCATTTTAAATAATTGTTTTGAAGTCGAAATAGTTCAGCGTCTATCGGTTGCCAGCGACAAATAACTTCCTTGCAATTCTTAAGCATTGATCTTACTGCGGTAACAAACGTCGTGCATATCAAAATTACAATATCCATCATTTTTATAGCATCTTCTGTTTAAAGAAATATTACAAAAATAGAACTTTTTAACGTTTAAGTCGAGTTATATAAAAATGAGATTTTTTTTATAAATTTAGTCCGAACCTTTTGATGGGAAGGATTCACAAGGACAGAGCCACCGCTAAGCGAAGCTTGTTGCGATGACCCTGCCCTCTACCCTCCGATCGCGCAATTCCGATTCTATGGCAGAATTTAGAGCCCAAAGTTTAACGTGCGCACATAGCCGCGCACGGCCGGTCCCCTCGCTGACTTCACCTGGCTACGGCCTGCCACCAACCGCAACCATACCTGTCAGGAGGCCCATAAATGTCGAGCGCCCGTCGCGCTTCGAACCCGGACTGTCATAACCGGGAACGCGTGCTCTCACCACGCGGAGTCCAACGCTCTAACCAACTGAGCTACGGGACCGGCATTGACCTATAAGCGAAAAATAATTGAATCCATCGTATGCAATCCTCGGTCGGACCGCCCATTCACTATGCGAAAGGTGCACCAATCGCAAGGTCACACGAGGCTCTGCGTCCAAATTCCGTCCTGGGCAGTAGGGTTGTTAAAAAAAAAAACGAATTTTGGAAAAGTATATGGGCTCATGGCTCATGTGGTGCGGTATCATTTTCTGAGACCAATGATGCCCTTTTTTCTGAAAAGTATCAACTGTTAGGGGCTCCTCAAACGGCTTAAAGAGGACCATGCTACGCCCGCAGACCGGCCGGTGTCAATAAGGGCGTGAACTCGACGCCGCGCGCCGGCGGCAGCGCCTTATCGGCACCGCGCGCCACGACATCTGCCGGGCGGCCGGCTGGGCGGTGGGAAGTTATAAGTGCGTGGTCTTATTGCACACGATCGGGGTGAGCTATCCCATGTTTTCGGGGCGGAAAGTTTCAGTGCAGCATCGGTGCGTCTGCCACGGTGGTCTGTGTCGATGGTATAGAAAATAACTCAAGCAGAGCTCAAAAAAAGAGTGAGTGATTCTGGGTAGTTGCCTCGAAACAATCCGTTTTAAGAATACAGCTGCCTTCTTAACGTACCGTATCACTTGTTAATTCTTCAAAAAAACAAACTCTGAGCAATAACACACCTCTTTGCATTGCTGTTGACAATTTACGTTAGTTTTTGACGGTGGCTCGCACCCCCAATATGCTGCCGCGCAACTTTATTCCAACGGCGAAACGGCAACTTCGCGAGAATCGAAAATTCACGATATACGTACAGCAGGGGCTGGCAATGCAATATGCACAAGGACAGAATATGGAGGAGACCCGACAGTCATCGGCCCAAGTTTGGGGGTGGCTTTGACGAGCATAGGCGTCACCAATGTCATTATTCAGATACGTTGATGTCAGATGCTGGGGCAACAGAATCGACGCCAGGTGTAGCTTAGATTAGCGGGTCGAAAGAAAACATAACATGTCTGGGAATGACAGGGTGGCCACCCTGACAGTGTGACGAAGTGAGACATGAGTAGAGACATTCGCCGGAGTACCTACTCATATAAATCAAGCGCCGTTTATCCAATCCTTCGAGCATAAGCGACGCCGGCAGTCCGGCCAGGGCGGCCGTGCCCACCGATGCCGATCAAGACCCGAATCCAGACCCGGCATAGAACACAGCTCTGCCCTGACGTGACACATTACCCCGGTGTGTCACTCATGACGGATAGACCAATGCAGGAGCCTTGCCAGCTCCTGTTGTACCTACTTCGTTAAATTTTCGATTCTCGCTACGTTGTCGTTTCGTCGTTGGAATAGAGTTACGCGGCAGCATATTGGGGCTGCGAGCCACCGTCCAAAAGCAACTTAAATTGTCAACAGCAATGCAAAGAAGTCTGTTATTGCTCAGAGCTTGCTTTTTGAAGAATTAACAAGTGATACAGTACGATAAGAAGGCAGCTGTATTCTTGAAACGGATTGTTTCGAGGCAAGTACCCGGAATCATTCAGTCTTTTCTGAGCTCTGCTTGAGTTATTTTCTATACCATCGACAAAGACCACCGTGGCAGACGCACCGATGCTGGACTGAAACTGTCCGCCCCGAAAACATGGGATAGTTCACCCCGATCGTGTGCAATAAGACCACGCACTTATAACTTCCCACCGCCCAGCCGGCCGCCCGGCAGATGTCGTGGCGCGCGGTGCCGATAAGGCGCTGCCGCCGCCGTGCGGCGTCGAATTCTCGCCCTTATTGACACCGGCCGGTCGGCGGGCGTAACATGGTCCTCTTTAAGCCGTTTGAGCAGCGCCTAGCAGTAATACTTTTCGAAAAAAGGGGTATCATTGGACTCAGAAAAGAATACCGCACCACATGAGCTATGAGCCCATATACTTTTCCAAAATTCGGTTTTTTTGAACAACCCTACTGGGCAGGGCCCTGAACAGCTCGTACGGCGAGCGGAGCGCCTCGCCCGTGACGTCACGACCCGGTCCAGGCGGTCGCGCCGCCCACCGCAGGAGCCCGCGGCGCGGCAGAGCGCCCATCCGTCCGCGCTGGCTCTGCTCGTCTCCCCTCCTGCACTGTCCCTCGTCACCTCCCCGCCCCCGCGTCTGCAAGTCCATAAATAACAAACGACGGGACCAGCGCTCCCGCAGCATGGCTCTGGTCCTACTCCTGTCAGAGCCAGGCTAGCCTCCAGTTCACACTCCGAGCCAGCAGCACATGATGTCCGCCACGGCTCGGCCAAACTTCTGAATGGTCGGCTTGCTCTCTTTCTCTCCCCTCTCGAACTCCTCTCTCCAGCCGAATGAGTCGAGTTTCCTCATCTTGGTCGAGCCGTGACCGACCAGCGGGTCCCTCATTTCCTGTTCCGTCTCGCCGGCGTACCGGACCAGACGACCGTTAGGCACGGACGCCGACGCTGGCTGCTGGTTGATGACCCGCTCGCGGTCAACCTTCAGTGTGCTGTCGTTGAAAATGTCTGTCGGGGGCGCCTCCTCTGCGGGTGCTGACGGAGCCATCGGCGGGCTGGCCGGAGGGGCGCTCACCGGACTGGTTGGAGGAGAGGTCACCGGACTGGCGGTAGTAGCGGTCACTGGGCTCGTCGCCGGGGCGGTCACCGGGCTGACCGGCTCTGAAATGGTCTCGGCCGTCGGAGGACGTCTCACAGCCGCGCGGAAGTCGGGCGCGTCGGTTCCGGCGGATCGAGAGCCGGGCGGCGTCGGCGGACAGCTGGGCAGCGAGAGCGACTTCTCGGCCATCGCCGGAGCGCGTGCGGTGCCCGTCGCCGTCGACCGTTTGACGCGCGTCGTGTCGGTGCTGACAGAGTGATCCGCGCGCGTGTAATCGTCGAGCAGGTCGCGGAGTGAGCTGGAGCTGGGCTGGCTGTGGCCGCCGCGGTTGCCTGACACCTGCAGGCGGATGATCTGGACGCCCGGCGGCACGATCACCTGCTCGGCGTCGTCGTTGACGACGACTGTCTCGATGCCGTCCGGCACCTGCATGGCGTCGTTGTCGGTGTCGGTGCGCACGGTGAACGTGGTCTCCATGGCGGACATGGCTGCTCGGGGCTCAGTGCAGACCGAGGCTACCACAGGACTGCCGCCGACTATGGCAGCGCTGCTCGTTGCACAAGGCACAGCGCCTGCCGCAGCTACAGCAGGGCAGCTCACTGTCAGCTACCGTGAGACTGTGGGCCAGAGGACGAGATCAGGTCAGCAACGGGGGCGATCACATTGACGCCCTTTTAAATCCGGAAACATATAAAAAACGGCTTATCTGAAGGTCTAAGACTGACTTACAAATTGACGAGCTTACTGGATTTACGTCTGTGTATGTAGGTACGAAACGTAAGTCGGGGTAAAATGCATTTAGCATGAATATATTCAAATATAGGCATAGGTATTCGTTTCTGCAATGTGGAAACTTGTTTCTGTTCGAGTTCCTTTCGGTTTTCGACACTCGCCGTTGTCGGCTAACACGTATTCATTTAGTGCCAGGAGGATGTCGGTCGGGTCCTCTCTGTGGCAAGTGGCGACTCGGATCACAGTCGTATGACAGCTGAAGGTTTCGGTCTCGAGCTGCTCGCCACAGCACGGCTACAAATGGGACGCAAGTGGGGTGAATGGCCACATGGCCGTGCCCTGCCGGCTAGACGGGACTGAGAGAACAGAACGCCAAAACTCCAACCATTTTACGAGTGCCACTTTTTCCTTCGGCCGCACTGGCGCCGCTCTGGTTCAGCCTGCACCGCGCCCTGCCGTATCATGGTGAATGGTTCAGTGTGCACTGTGCACCGTGCATCCCTTCCAGAACCGGTTTTAAACCGCGATACACTCCATTGTGGGGCTTGGTCCACCGGGAAACTGGCCGCTCGAATTCAGCCTGCAGTAGTCGCACATATGGACAGACACGCGTGTGTGACAGTGTCAGGCGAGGGGTGGCAAGCCGTCAATATACCCTGGGCAAGCCGTCTCCTTGATCTCGCACTTTGGGACTAAAGGTCAAGTGGTATTTATGACATTCAAGGTAGGTAGAACGTGGCGGACTGTGTGTTTCTTTTGGATGTCATGGTTTATATGAAATGTTCCGGAAGGTAAAAGATGCGTGTGAATAGGATAAGGCTGACAAAAGATAATGATAATTCATGTTTTAACTTATCTTCTTAGAAGACCTTCGCGTGTTTAGAACGATGAATGAAGCATTTGTAAATTTTGAATACCTAATTTTTATTTACTGCCTACGCATAAAAGATGCCTACCTATATTTTCACCTTCAATCTTAATGGTTTCTTCTCTTATAAGAACAAAGATAAGATATATCATATCTATAAATTATAATTATAATATAAGATCTGACAATCATCCATCTATAAATCCATAGATATAGCATAGTGTAATAAATAACTATGGATTATAAATATGGATAATAACTATGGATAACTATGGTTATTTATTACACTATGGATATAGGTAGGTATGTGTAGGCCGCCGGGGATAACCGTCTTAGCCGACGCAGGTATATGCAAGACGCCCCATGCTAGTATTTATGATTCAATCAGTTACCTACCTACTTTGAGCAAATATCAAACTCAGTAAACAAGTCAAGTTCATCCCCCTCATAAGTTATATATTGTGGATTGGATGCTCAAAGTTCGTCGATTCATCAGATATTTCGCTACATAGGATTGTCCTTGGGATTGTTGCAAAATTCCCAGGCCGCCGTGCCGTCTCCGCCCTAGGGCAGACGGCCCTTCCCACTTCCCAGTTCCCCTCTGATCGGCTTGGTCCATTGTCGTCCCGAAGCCCCCGCATGCAATACTGATGTCTGTGGCCACTGAGGTTTCCCAGAGCTACATTCCGCTTGTATGGAACAATCAGCAAGTCATGGGAGTAGGAAGTCCAGAAAAGTGGTGGGAAAATAATTTGCAGCACCTTTAAGTCTAAAGGTGATTTTATTGTAACCCAATCTCTTGCCTTTGCCCTTTTATGAAAACAGCATAGGTAACATTTATGGATTTTGTGCTTTATTGCGGAGGAGGAGGAGGAGGGGGGGGGGACGCGGGATTGTCCTTCGACTATCGCATGAGCAGCACCACTCGCCACCATGATGTCATTTGTATACATTTATGCAAAGCATGGCTGGATCATGCACAGTTTATTTAATCCGTGGCTGGACACTGTCCGCGGTGAACACTCCGGAACGGAGGCGCCGGATGTATGACGTCACAGCTCACAAACGTGTGACGTCATAGGCGGTGCTCAGCACATACCGATGAGGTGACGTGAGTCGTGATCGGGCAGTGATATGGCGGGTCGGTGCTAAACGGCAAAAAGAGAGCCTTCGAATGGTATAAGCTTTATAGGCGAAAGTTCTGTGCAGTGTAGGATGTAATAAATACAAGGACTACGCGTCGAAAATGAGTCGTATAGGTTTTTGGTCAGGAAAGTTCATGGTGAGAAAGTCCATGACTGACGGTACATTACTAAAGGTAGGTAAAGTAAAAGCGCTACCATTTATGCATATCAGGCTTTTATGTATCAGTACGTATGCTCGTATCGGCCTCTAACCACTGATTAATGTTCTTGAGACAAAGACTTGAACAGAACAGCTTATTGACTGGACTGGCGGGGGCGCGGGAACTACTTTCAGACGGGGGGGGGGGGGGGGGCATACCATTAGAAATCAACCTATGGTACCCCAAAATCTAGTTTTCATACCGGATTTAGGCCACTTATTTTTCCTCCCATGGCCTTTTCAACAAAAAAAGAAAACGTTTGCAAACAAATGCGATATTCCGTCTCAAAGTTGTGGGGGCACCGCCCCCCCCGGCCCTAGAGTTGGGGGGGGGACAAGCTGCCCCCACTGTCACCCCTCCCCCCCCCCGGTTCCCGCGCCTATGTGGACTGGGACATGACTTGACTTTGGTAAACCGATAAGAAAGCCACGAATAGCCAGATAGTTTATAATCGATCGTTTAGGCATGGGTAAGCACAGGTGAACACTGAACATGCTATATGCATGTCTACCCCGGGTCTGATTGCCGACAACATTTAATGTAGGGGAGAGTGGGGTAAGATGCCCAGGGTGGGAAAGACGCCCCACCCCCTCTAAGCGGCGAAACAAAGAATCGAACCTGGAAATTAATGTTCTTAGCGTAAAGCGGAAGCCTGCCTTGTTAACTGCACAAAAATTTGCGAAGCTCATTTGGGCAACGGCTGGCTGGTGATTGCATATTTTTTATTTGCTGCTTTCAAAAAATATTTTGGTGTCAAAACATTGTAAATATCAAAGAAGGTAGATAATTTTTGCGTCCCTTGCTATAGTCATGATACATTAACATGCGTGTACTGTGCCCCAAACAGTTTGTTTCAGGGTGTAGTTTTATGGCTAACAAATTGTACTGATTTAATGTTACTTCGGTACCTTGGGGTAAGATGCCCCCTGTCCTGATGGGGAAAGACGCCCCCTAAATCCGTAGGCTGTCCTTCAAGCAGCCCGTCAAATCATTTATTACATACCTACTTGTGATGAGAGACAAAAGCCGATCTGGGACTATTGAGAGGCCAGTACGGTCGGGTGCTCCCCATGCCGGTCTCTCGGCCCACACAGCGACTTTTTGGCCGGCATCTGACTCTGAGAGCCCTCACGACGGCCTCTGTGGGCCCCATTATTGACTCCAGGGCCCCTCACGACATTCTTTGAGGGCTGCCACGTTGGCTCCACGGGCCGCGCTGGCATCTGAGGTCCCCACGATGGGCTCGAGGGCCCTCAAGCATCATGAAGACCTATAACGGCCCCACAGTGGTCTCCGAACGCCACCACGGAGGCTTGTTTGGCCGCTCTGGACTATGATGGCCCTAACGATGACCTCTGAAGCCCCTTACGACTACTTTTGAGGGCCCTTACGATGACGTTTGGTGTCTACTGCAGGCTCGAAGGGACTACTGATTCGTTCAGGCGATTCACGTGCCCATTTATGTCACTTATAGTGCAGGGGGGCATCTTCCCCAACGCCAGGGGGCGTCTTTCCCACCCTGTGGGGTAAGATGCCCCCTTTCACTTCTTCAGGAAAATGCTTAATTAACCCTAGAACGCCTAGGGGGGGGGGGGTTGTATCAACCCCCCCCTGAGGTTTTTTCGAAGTGCACGCTAAACGGCTTGTCGTAGCGGGCTGAAATTTTCAATACCCTCTGGGGCAACCTTTGCGCATCTTTTGCCGAAAAAAAATTGATCGGGTCATGTCAGGTCACGGAGTTATGACGTCATAAGAGGTACAGCCTCCGGCCGGATTTTCACAAACTGAGTGCCAACGCCCGAGGTTTCCTGCCGGTGGTACGGACATCGGTTGATGGATCGTGATGAAACTTCCCATGCATGTTGGGGCAAGTATTGGCTATCATATGGTATAAGAAATTTGACCGGGTCAGGTCAGGTCACGGAGCTATGACGTCACAAGAGGAACAGCGTCCGGTACTATTTTTGAAAAGCGCCCGAACCACTATTTTGCTAATTCTTGTCACCTCAATGGGAATATGCAGCAATATTAGCTTCAATAGGGAGCAAATGGACCTCCCAAATCCAAAAATACAATCAGATTTCAAAAATTTAAATTTTGATTTTTCGAATTTCTGCCGCCGACTGTGACCTTGCCGACTTCCGGCGCTCCCAACGCGCCATTTTTAGAGCTAGGGAAACGAAATACATACCAAACGATAGAGAATTGATCAAGGAACACGATAGTGAAGGTTTCAAGTCGATATCTCCCACCGTTTTGCCGCAATCGCCGCCGAAAGTTGAAAAAAATCTATTTTTCCGAACATTTGACCTTTGACCGGTCAAAAGTAGGTCAAATGTTGACCTAGGACCAAAAAATATACCACCAATCGCGAGATCTCGTTGAGAGCAATCTGTTGGTTTTTTCCGCTAAGCTCTACGACCTTCCGTTTCGAAACGCCAGGGGGGGGGTCGTAACAACCCCCCCCCCCCTGGCCGTTCGTGTTATGAGAAATGGCCTGGTCGTGCGAGGGTTAATAGCAAAAAAAGTTATCATATTTCAGGCACGAAAGTGTGATATTTTTGGAGAAAAATGATGTTGGCTTCCGTTGAAACTCGAAGTTTTTGCTTTCCGATCGTCATTTTCGAATAATATATGACATAGTAAAACCCTGGGCATCTTTCCCCACTCTCCCCTAATTGTAAAAAAATGTAATTATACCTATGTGTTTCATTCAGTCGGCTTCCGCTATTCCACCCAGCGTATGTACCTAACTAAATTATTCTAGCCTAGAAACCTAATTCGTGAGAAGTGGACTGCACTAAGTTAATTCAATTATCATCTCGGCAGATGAGAACTCGGTTTTACGGGGGCCGTACCATGCAATTACGAAGTAGTTACTTTCATGTGGCCGGACATATTTGGGACTTGACTTCGGTGAGAAAAGTAGGCATGGTAAAAGTTGCGACATATAACCTACATCTAACGCCTAAAAGACAAAAGTATTGAGTAATAACTACCTACTGATTGAACCTAGCGATATAAGTCGCGACTTTGTACACTCTAAAAATTGTAAGATGTAGCAACCGAAAGCATGTGCCTATTAGGTACTCAAAATTATACGTGACATATGCCGGCGCCCAGCGCATGGTTCTCCCTCCAAGATTCAAACGTTGCCTTCCGCCATTGATGCCGTCTGTGCACTTGTGGGTGCACCATTTCTTCTATGAGTCTCATTTCATCTTCAATGAAGCCTGAGAATGCCCGCTGGAGGAGACTCGGTAGTTGACATCTCAGGCCAGTCACACAATCAAGCCAATGTGAGTTTAACTCGCTCAAATGTGCTGACCTTGTGCCCCAGTCACCGCGATAACTTATCACGGTCGGTGCCCGCTTTGGGCACGTTCCTTGGCCACTCAGCTACTCCGTCTAGTAGTTGCTCAAAGAGGTCACATTGGCGGTGCAGTCGCGCCCAGCCAGGCGGTATCAATGTCCGTGTGACAGTGCTCCCCGTCGGACGGAAACCCGGAGTCGGACGGGATACCTTTCCTACTGAGTTGCAGTCTCCGAGACTAGTGACGGGCGTGGCGCGCGACTCCCACGTGTTTGAGGTGTGTCAGCTGTAGCTCCCTTTATGCGGACCCTTTATGGGTGAGGTTACATCGAGTCTATCATAACTTGTAATGGGGCCACCTTATATATGTAGGCATAGCTTGGTAAGTTTGTAACAAAGGTAATTGTTATAACCGAGTACCTTCGTCTTTGTTCAAATCCCTGTAACTAACAGCTTAGTTATGATGGCGAGGACTAAAACATGGTTTCTACTCACAACACGCGATTAATCGGCGGCTTTCTTACAGTATCACAAAACATGACCTCCTCGCCACGCACAGAGGCGCACTCAACAGTATCACAAAACATGACCTCCTCGCCACGCCCAGAGTGCGCAACCAACAGCCGTCGTCGCCAGAACACTCACCTGAAATGTATCACGCTCCAGCTTCGACCGACTCCAGACTCTGGCACGCCCGCTCCGCGCCAGTGGCCGGTGCCGCACAGTTTCCCCTAGTCGGCAGCTGCACAGCGTCCCTCACAGTCTGCCGCGGTCGCCGCCGCCGACACCGCGCTGTCCCTCTCCCCTCCCTCCCCAGCGGAGCAGGGGCCTGTGCAGGACCGAGTTTCGCGCGGCCGCCGCCGTATCACCGCGGTCTTTGGGTAGGTATAACTCATACCTGTGCGAGCCGATTCTGGCTGGAGCGACTGTTTGCTCCGGTGCCGTGCGCCCGCTGACACGACAAACATGAGGGTGCGTGAAAGCCTGCGTTTCACCCACATGAACCATGTTGATATGCATGTAATTAGGTACATATCTGAGGTCATCGAGGCCACGATATCAGATCCATCGCGAATACACCGCACTTGCTTAGCCTTGGCAGTCGTTAGTTGAAATCTGTAGCAAATTTACCTCAGGTTCGCGAATAGCCATCTTTTCCGCGCATGTAAAAATTTCAAACCTGCAGGTCCTTGAATGTCAGGTCACCAGGTCACTTCAAGAAACCGTGTCTCAGGAAAAGTTATAATGCTCGCCATAGCTACACCGAACGTACGATCGTTTTGGAACGTCAGCGATCGAAAAGAGTAGCAGAAGGTAGGCATAAAACGTATATATCGGAATTCTTATATCGTCGGCCTATATCGTTAGATAACCCTTGCAATAAAATTAAAAAAAAAAACAGGTCAATTATGCGACCTCTCCGTTGTAAGTCAATGGGAGAAAATTGAACTGTGCGTGTTTCGGACAACTCTCAAACTTGAAACTACAAACTCTGAAACGGCGGGATACAGCGAATGACGGCGGGAAACATGACACACTGAATCGGGAAATTGCACCCGTGACCCGTTTTATGCCACTGAGGTAACCTTAGCTCACGAAACGTCTTCAACAGTTTTATTATGATAACTTTAGATAGAAACATGTTAGACCAGGTCGGGTCAGGTCAGGTCAACCGGTAGGGGTCGTGACCGGTATTCGTAGTAGGTGGCAACCGCCTCTGACAGCGTCGTAACACGTTACGAAGGTACCAAAACTACTCCGTAGATGTTCAAAGGAAAAATAAATTCAAAAATAAAACTCAAAAACAAATTCAAAATTAAATAAAAAATAATAAAAAATAAAAGAAAAGAATAAATCAAAAACAATTATTATAAAATAATAATATGATAAAATAAGATTTAAAAATAAATTCGAATTCAGCTCTAAAAAACTAGCCTAGAAACATGTAAAGCTCGAAAAAGTGAACCGAGGTCATCAAAGGTCAATAACCTGAACTGACCTTCGGCTGACCTTGACACCCACCCTAATGCATAGGGCCAACATCGTAACACATGTTTGAACGATTGAAACTACGAAAAGACTGCAAACGCGCGGCTAATGCGAGCAGACATACATATGCCGAATCGCGATTCTGGCCAAACATGCCCAGTAAACATGCCGACGTCGGCCCGACGTCGGCTGACGTCGGGGTGACGTCGGCAACTCGGCATCGACATGCCGACGTCGGCCCGACGTCGGTCCAACCTCGGCACGACGTCGGCTGGATGTCGGATATGCCCGCATGTTCCGACGTCCAGCCGAGGTCCAGCCGACGTCGGGCCGACGTCGGACCGAGATCAATTGCTGAGGTCCAGCCGACGTCGGGCCGACGTCGGGGCGACGTCGGACCGACATCGGCCGCTGTTTTGACCGTTAAAATAATATAAAATGCATGTTTCATGTTTCATAAAGAGCTTCTGTATTCAAAATATCCTCAGGAAACTCTTGAAACTTTTTTGAAGGTGGGAGGGTCCCTTTAAATGAAAAAAGGTACCTTATCTTCCTCCACGCCGCAACCCCCTGATCCGGACTGGGCGGGAAACTTTATCCCATTTGGAATTGCCCGTAAGCCGAGCTCGCCCGTAGCCGGGTGCGGTGAGTGCTTGGGGGCTGCTCGGCCTATCCTTTGGTCAGGCTCAGCCCCGGCAACTCACCAGGGCCGGGCCCAGTTCATATAGAAAGGCCAGTCGGCAAGTGTCACTTTGCCAAAGTGCCACTTATCAAAGGGACACTTTGGGAAACGTTGGTGCAGGTGTGTAAGAGTGGCTATATGAATCCATTGTGGGATCGCCCTTTCCAATAAGTGTCACGTACCAGCAATGGGACAGGGACTCATATGAACTGGACCCAGGGTGCTCGCCAAGAAGACCAATGTCTCCATCCTATGATCCTTCCGGCTCTGAAATGGTCTTGTCAGACCGAAAGGGCATAACCCAACAAAACAAACCAGTTTCGTTATCCGGCTGCGTGGTGTAGTGGTTAGCGCACTAACCTCGCGTTCAAATGACACGGGGTTCGAATCCCATCGCCGGCTGATGCTTTTGGCGTGTTGTGCCAGTAAACATGCCGACGTCGGCGACTGGGCGGCTCGAATCCCGCCGCCGGTTGATATTTTTGGCGCGTTGTCCCAATAAACATGCCTACGTCGGCCCCGTCGGTCCAACGACAAACGATCTCGTCAACCTCGGCAAACGATCTCGGCCCGACGTCGGCTCGACGTCGGCTGGACTTCGGCTGGACGTCGGAACATGCGGGCATATCCGACGTCCAGCCGATGTCGGGCCGAGGTTGAACCGACGTTGGGCCTACGTCGGGCCGAGCCTCGGCCCGACGTCGGGCCGACGTCGTCATGTTTACTGGGTGGTCTCGAAAAGTAGGTCACAGGTCAAAGGTCACTTGGGTCAGGGTCATGAAATTTTTGGGATAGGTATAAAATTGATTAAAGGGACTATCCCACCTTTAACATGGGGTTTGAGTTGAGATAGCCAAGTTTGCGGCGAGGTTCAGAAACCACTATCTGTCTAGGTTGCAACCCCCGCGGCCTCTTGGTGTTGAAGAAATTCGTTCCCTTCATTTGAAAATGGGCCTTGTGCAAGGCCCTATCTTCAACATGGAGCGACCGTTAGTGTGACGTCACCTCGTTTAGTCGTTCTGATTTAAATGGGTTTGTTCGTTGAAAAATCGCTTAAAGGTAGTGTGCCAGCTTTCCTGGACCGTATGGAGTTAATGGCCCAGACAAGGAGAACCGGATTTTTAGAACTTATCCACCCAGCTAACAGGAAACGTTACTACCACGTTGTCACAACGTCGTGTTTCGGTAAGTTGCGAAATTACGTTTTAATTACGTTGTAGCAACGTTCTGAACGTTGTGAAGCCATGGTTTGGTCCAAAAGTCGTGGTAAAACGTCGTGACAACGTTTTATTGGTACGTTGCAGCAACTGCGCACTTGAAGCATTATTTTTTGATAATGCATGGTGACATATATGGCCATATAATGCATTTCCTTTGACTTTCAATGCGCATATTCAGTTTTCATCGTTAAATTTGACATATTTTAACACTTGGACTGTTCACGTTGTCAGCTGGTGGTCGGCAACACGTTGTCAAAACGTTTTTTCACAACCTTGACATTATAGGTACTGAATAATTAGCGGTGTTTTTACAAGTAAATTCTGATACCTTTCTCTCTCTATCTCTCTCTAATATATATATATATATATATATATATATATATATATATATATATATATATATATATATATATATATATATATATATATATAACATGTGTAAATTGCAAAGCGTCATTAGCATGTTTTGCAACATCACAGGCGGAGCTAGAGGCTTGCAACCATCCCTATGTAAACGCGGCTGTTATCCGCGGCTGCCAGCAAGCCACGCGGGCCGCCACTCAGGCGAACGGTGGCTCGCGCCCTGACCTCGCCTGAGGGGCCGTGACGTCAGTGTCACCGGCCGGCGTTCAGAGCCAGCCGGCCGAGCCGCAGTCTACGCGGCGCGAGCGAGCAGTGAGGGCCGGCGGCGGGCGCGGCTGAGATAGCTGGAAGATGAAAGATAGCGCCAGTTGTCTGCGTTTGATGCGATTGTTGCTTTGACTGGTAAGTCAAAGTACCATTTACGAGTAGCATTTGCAAGATTGTGCCTTGTAATATCGTGCGGTCTAGGCTATAGTTCATTGTAGCTCTAGCCTCTAAGGTGTTGACATGTTTGATCTAGCCTGTCGCACTGTTACGGAAAGTGGTGCAGGTATTTTTGTGATTTTTTTTTCATGAATTGAATGTCTGATTTTCCCTCATGTGTTCCCGCAGACGTCCTGCAACTCGTCAGCGCGCCTTGTGGCAGGCCTACTGTCGGCAATGCAGTAGCGAAGTGGCTGTCTGGAAGCTGCGACCGGAACATCAGAGACCGTCTAGTCAAGCACTGCCAGCTGCCTAGGGACATCGAGGCCGCAAATGAGCCGGTGCCTAACGGTCCGCCGAGTGATCCTCATCCTCCCAGCGAGGGTTAGTGAAGAAGTGAACTTCCACCAGTTCTGGCGTGCTAGCGGCTAGCGCCAGAGCCGGTAGAACCCAATTCCGTCCCACGCCCCCATGGGGGCGCCCCTGGGCCCCATGCCCCATCACCGATGCCGCCGCCGTCGTTTTTTTTTTGTAAATTGACCTGTGTGATGTATTGAAATATACACTTCTTACATGCTTTTTTTTACAAGTCTAGAGAACGGGAAGAGAGCGTCGGAAACACATTCTGAGTATGTTGCGAACACGTTGAGAGGGCGTTGCGAAAATGTTTAGGACTTTTACTCGGGGTCGCAGGGACGGCAATACGAAGTAGCGACAGCGTGGTGCCCACGTGATAAAAATGTCGCAGAGACGTTGCCAAAGCGTTCTATACTCCTTGTAGTCACGTTGCGGAAACGTGGTGACAACGTTCCAGAAACACTGTTGGTACGTTACAGAAAACATTTCATAACGTTGGCGGGACGTTGTAAGAACAGTTTTGGGACGTCACGGCCACGTTACAGAAACGTTGTGATGACATTCAAATGCATGGTCGGATGACGTTGTCACGCCGTTGTCTGGAGTCTACAAAATTACGTTGTCACAACGATAAATCGGGACGTTGTGGTAACCATTTGACAACGTTTAAACGACGTTGTAACAACGGCAAATTGTTAGCTGGGCATACCTTCAAAACTCATGGAAACGTCTTAAATTCTTCAAATTTTGAG